GATTAAACTCTAGAATCAATGTATCAAAAATTTTCCCAACAATTCAATTAAATTACTAAATATTCTGCCATAGTGTAGATTTCCTTTCAATTCGCGATTAACAAACCTGAACAACAGGGGGCGTTCCATTTTCCGAGGACGACTGTGCCGTGCTATGAATAGTAGTTTTCACGCTAACGCTGCTGGGTTCTTGTCCAGACTTCGTCAAGGTCGAGGACGTCATCGACGAGACATACTCCTTCTTCGTGGTCGTGTGGGTGGTAGAGGACTCTGTGATGGTCTGGGACATTTTGGTCAGCACTTGGCTCTCGCCTCCATCCTCGGACTTCTCCGAAGAGAAGTGCTTGTCGCTGGTGCTTGCCGCGTGCATTTCGTCGGCGGGCAATCTTTCGACTAATTCGTCGTGTACTCTTTTTTCCACCTCAGTCTTCCTCACCTCTTCCCTTTGCCAGCCACCTAATTCGAGGATGATTAATTGGGATATCAATAGATTGTTGCGTGCTTTTTTTCTTTTATTTTTATTTTATTTTATTTTTATTTTATTTTTGGCTCATGGAACATTTCTCTGGTTCGACTAATGGCTAAAAGTTTGCAAGTGTCTGCAAGTGTGAATTTTTTGATTAGTTTGTTATATTCTTAATTTGTTTGTTATATTCTGAAGGAAGGTAAAATACATACTTGCTAAATTAAATGTTTATGTAAATAATAGGTTGTTAAATAGGTAAAATGTAGGTTAATAATTAAATGTTTATGTAAATAGTAGTATGTAAATAATATGTGACAAATTGATACGAGGTTCTATTCTGTATTTAAAATTTGTACTATTGTATCCTCTTTCTCAACACCAACATCAAGTAAAGTATTTCTAAATCTTGAGAGAAGTAGGTACAACTTAAGTGACTGATAAGACAGTTAATTATATAGTTCTCCATCAGTGTCATTCTACAAGAGGAACAATTTGTTAAAATAATTGGGGTACAAACAGTGGAAAGAGGTTTAAAATATGTACAAGGCAGATGTCACTAAAAGATGTCCCAAATTTCATTCACATTCTCTCGTCACGCTAAACTCCAGACAACTTGGCATCGAAGAGAAGCACGCAACCAAATATAATTTCACTCGACAAAATGGAGCACGTTAATAAAAAAAAAACTAAAAAAATTCTTACTAGCACAACATAGGGAAAAAATCACGTATCGCTTAAAATATTTTCACTGCAACTTGGAGGATTTAGTCTCGACGAAAATTAAATTTTAGAAAATTGAAATATAAACGGATATTAATAGAAGCAGGGAAATTGTTTTTTTATATTTAATGCAATTAAATTCTTACTGAAGTAATAGCCGAGTAGTATCAAACGCTTCAAATTTTATTATTGCAACTTAGACTAATTTAGTCTCGACAAAAATGATCACTTTTGTCATATTACATTTTTATATTTAATATAATTAAATTATTCTTATTAACGTAGGAAAGAGTTGAGTAGTGTCAATCGTTTCAAGTTTTATTACTTTATAGCTTATGATAGAGGAAAATTAAATTTGAAAAAAAAATACTTCACAGCGTCTCAATAAAAATAGGAAACTCATATCACGATTATATTATTATATTATTACTATTAGTATTATGTTATATATTAGTATTATCATATTATATATTAGTCGATGTTATTTAAATTATCTTTCAAGCATCGCCACTGTTATCTAAAAATTGGTCAGTTTTCAATTAATTACACACAATTCATTAGTTAATTCTTTTAAAAATTCGCCAAACACGCCAGGTGCGTTCAATTTCTACAGATTTTTTTGAAACGTTGTCATTCTTCTAATAATAAGCAGTGAAACTACGAAACGTCACAGTGATACGAAATCACGGCCGTTTGATCATCGATCCGCATCGATCTGTTCCCTTGATTCACGAATGTATTAATAGTTGGCCCGTTTAGTCGATGCCACGCTAGAATCGGATCATCGAATCCGCGCGGCTGGCGCAACTGACCCGGAAAAATTCCGCGTTTATTCGATTTTCAATTGTGAAGAATTCCAGAAACGGAATGCGAGAACGTTGTCAAATAATAGTAATAGTAATAATAATAATAATAATAATAATAATAATAATAATAATAATAATAATAACGATAAAAAAGACAATTTTAGAGACAATGTGAGATTGAGATAAACTAATATCTAACATTGATTTTTAACATATTTACTAGATTTTTTATGAATATACCTTCGTGTTCCTCTAATTATAATTTAATATTAAATTTTTATTAATTTAATATATAAATTTATATTATATAAATGATTTGAGTTTTATTTAATAATTTTTTTTTATTTTTATATAATATTATTTTATTTTAATAAATTTATTAACTATTTAATTTAAATTTATTATTATATTTATTGGAATTTAATTTATAATTATTAATTTTAATTTTTTTATTTAATTTTCATTAATTAGTAATAAATAATTTATTTATTTTATTAATAAATTTAAATTTTTACATATTTTAATATATAAATTTATTTTATATAGATTATATAAAATTTTATTTAATTTTTTTAAAATTACAAAAAATAAAATAAAATATAATTACGATTGAATTATTAATTAAATTAATATTTTATATGTAATTTATTAAAATTAAATATTTAATTTATTTAAAATAAAATTAATAAAAAATTCTTTATTATTAATTATCATGCAGATGAACTAAATCTATTACAAATCATGCAGATGAAAAAATCTAGTAAATATATTAGTAAAAAATCTAGTTGTTTTAGAATTTTCGCACCTTTCTCCATTTCAGAAGGGAGATCTAACTGCTGGGTAAACAGATGAAGCATTCAGAAATTTCAGTGAATTTTGCACAGATTTTGTTTTTAAAGCTACCAGATCGAACAACTGATTTCTTTCTCTCATTCTAGAGGAAGCTTAAAATTTTTGACAATCAGTTCTTTAGTTTGTAATATTAAGTTACGTGGTGTGAATTTTGGTTCCGATTTAACAAAGGCAGATTGTAGTTATCATCTGGTTTAGTTGAAAAACTCCAGCTTTAGCTTGAACTTTCAGTTTTCGATCTTTCAAATATAATTAATATATTTAACGTTCTAAAGCATTAACGTTTTGATTAGATGTGTAACTAACAAAGATCGTTTATAAGTCGATGGGAATTGATTGAAATCTATAAAATTACAGACAATACAATAATAAACAATAATTTCAGAAACGAAGGTACCAGTTGAACCAATACTTCCAAAAAGATTCCACAAAAATCTATCAAAATCTAGAAGTCACTGGAAATCAACTGTGAGATCAATATAAGGTTACATGATAATTTCGAGTAAACCGATTATTCCAATTGACCAATATTTTCATTTAATATATTAGTTATTATATTAGGCAACATTTAATATATCAGTTAACTAATATATTTAATATATCAGTTAACTAATATATTTAATATATTTAATATATTTAATATATTTAATATATCAGTTAATATATTCAAAGAAGTTCCAATTTATTGAAAGAAATTTCCAAATTTACTGGCTTTCTAGCCTAAACGCTATCGTAAACTATATGAATCTAGCCTAAACGTATCGTAAACTATATGAATCTAACCTAAATGTATCGTAAACTGTGCATTTTAAGTAAATCGGAAGAAGCTCGTAGATTGGCGAGAAACCAAGATGCGACACGCTCGGACCGAGAATTCATTCCGACATATCTGGACCGCGGAAAATTCGGCTCCGCTTCGTCCTGAATTTACTCGCAAATCACGAAACATTCGCTCGCGAGTGCTAGGTACAGCCGAGACCACAAACCGAGCCCCGTTATATTTACAGAGAATGAAACTGGCAAATCCCTTCTTTTCGTTTCCTTTCTGCTTTCCTTCTTCTCTCTCTTTCTCTTTCTCTCTCTCCCTCTCTCTCTCTCTCTCTCTCTCTCTCTCGGAAGGAAGTTGGTTACACGATTTCCAAGTTTCTACGGTTTGCTGAAAGGCTGTAAAAGTTAAGTTTGGACGGCTAAGTTTGGTGGTTTCCGATGAATCGGAGAGCCCTTCAAACTGGCTGACCAAATACCATGCCGGCGATCGACGACAAAAATAGTAACGTTCACCTAGCACCGGGTAAATCGACCACTGGCGCGCGATTTATTAAGTGACTTATACTTTGAATACAGCAATACAATAATAATGATTTGTAATCCTCGAAGTGACATGCGGAAGCGTAGCAATATCTTTTTTAAAGCAGGTCGAGATGAATTTAGCGTGGAATTTGATTTCGAACGAAGAGGTGAAATATTATAGAATCTTGGAATGTATGAAATTTATGATTTTACGAAGAATTTTATGAGACACTGAGTACATAAATATTTCTAGATCTTAGTTTATACGAAAAATATGTACCAATCTATAATATAATATAATATTATAATATAATATAACCTATATTATAATATATTGTATTATATATAATATAAAAGCTATAATTATAATATAATATAAAATTATAATATAGGTAAAATATAATATAATTATAATACCTATATTATAGTATAATATAAAAAGTAACCTATAATATAATATAAAAAGTATCTCTGTCCTACCTAATTCGTCAAAATTTTATTAGCAAGGATGGATTTCTATCACACAGATTCAATTGTTATCAAACTAACTTTTAAGTATGTACTCAGTCTTGAAAAATCACAGTGCTTTCTCAGACAAATTTATTTTTATCAAACAGCTGTCTCTTGTTCCACATTGTTCGTAGATACTCAAATAATCCATTGGAGAAACAACAAACGTTAACAACACTTCTACTGAGTCAAACTTTTGTAATTCTCTGTGATCGAATTTAGTTTAAAATCTGAAACGATCTGTAAATCAATTTTGTTTTAAAACTTCTTTTCGACACAGATATCTTCGTTGTTGTGAATAATTATGCACTTAATAATTTGAACACTTTGAAACGATTTTAATTTCATAGATAAGCAAGTCTTCTTTAGAATTCAACAAAGCATGTCGTGGAACTTAAATATGTGTATTTACAATATCGAACGACAATCGAATCTCTGCTTTAAAATTCAAACGTTTCGTTTAAAACACGTCCTCTTGAAAATCCAACAAATTTCGAACAAATATTACAATTTCACGTATCTATAATATTAACACTAGATTAAACCAACAATTAAATTTCCACCAGAGATTAAAAGTAGAAAAATTGTAAAAAAAAAAAAAAAAAAAAAAAAAAAAAAGCATAATGCTTTCAATAATAATTGTCTCAGTCATATTCTTAAAAATATGAATTCGCAGTCTACAATAATCCGATAACAATTGTACAGAAATTAAATGGTGTTGATAAATACTATTTTACAAAAGCAATTTGGATTTTGATGAGTTTCAACACAAATAAAAAGTAAAAAAAATCATTCTGAGAATTTTTACGGACGTTCAAAAATTAACTCACGCTTAATTACATTCTCACTTTCAACGGCTCCAAAGTTAAGAGATCTTAAAATTTTTATCGTAATCGAATTTGTCCCCTTTCGAGGAAAAGCTACAATTGGGGAAAGAAATTCTCTAATTACATAAAAAAAAAAAATCATGTTGAAAAATCGAAATTGTTTCCAGTCTTCTACTCTTGACATTAACTACCAGACCAACGAAGTATAATCATTCAAAGTTAATCGAGCTAAACCATGAATTGATCAGTCAGCTGTCTCTGAGCTGCGTGATGTCACGTTTATTTTACATACTTGTTTCGCTTCCTCGGTTAACCGAAGAATCAGCTGCAACACGACCTCAACTCGCCCGCTACGTGTCTCCTCCAATCCCCACGACGAACCTCGACCATCGTTTCCGTCTCTTAACTCGACTCTCGAGTCGAGTCACCGCGCGGTGATTCCCGAACGATTTACATTAACACAATACTCCTTTTACATAACGAACTGCGGCTACCTGCCATAAAATATAATACGCTCTTTGCATACGTACAATACGCTGTTTACATAAGCGTAATAGGTAAGTAAGCGGCCGTGTGTAACGCTCGCGTATCAATGTGACTCAAAGTCGTAATGTTCGACGATACAGAAGAGGGATTGAATTACACCGATATATATTTTGAGGTTTCGATATTTTACCAAAGTTATTTGTTTGTTGAGTTGGTAATGATATAACATAACCGCTTTTAACCTCTTGCGCTGGAACGACGCACGTCGAGAATCTTTTGTCTCAAATTGTAACATTTTCTCAGTTTTATGTAACTTTAAATGCAATTCAGGGAAAAACAGATGATAAGTTGATTACTTCTTAATAGTTTCTATCCGATGATATACGGGGACGAGTTCAAAAGAAAAAGAAAGCGACGAATTATTGTATACGGTTCGGTCATTCGTTATGGTCCGCGAACCAATTGCCAACGCAACGGGTTAAATAGCGGTGTTGCGGAGAAAATATTAAGCAAAATTTTAAAAACCCACGTGATTTATGATAAAAGTATCGCGTAAGTAATGTTATAATTTATACGCAAATTATGCTTAATTTATACATAATTTGTGTGTAAAACGAGACTCGCGTAAAAATGTACCACGTGAATGAAAAGACGGATGTAGATAGGTACTATATTGGTATTATATAGAAATATATAGGTATTCAGTTTCCATTGCGATAATAGAATAATGACCTGAAAATACACCGATAACACCGATAACACCGATTCGATCTCTGATACAAAGATAAGTCGTTGGTCGCAAGTTGTAGAGTTGTGTTTTCCCTCGCGTTGTCGTAGGATCAATCGCTTGCTCCGAAAAGTTTACCTTTGGAGGAAGAAAGTTGATCGCCGGAAAGTGTCCGGGTCGTAGGTTCTCGCCACGCGTCTTGACAAAGGCGAAGATTTCCAGAAGAACGAGTCAGATCGATCGCTGGGGGATAGGGTTAGCGAGTGTTTCACGGTTGTGTGGTTATCAACGGGAGAATTTCACCGAGCGCGGATTACGCTGTCGGTGTGTAAACGCGACCAGGTTGCGTCAGCGTTCGATGGGGCGTGACGAGAGAGCGCAAGCAGCCTGCGATGCCCCCTCCCTCTCGGATTAAGTAATCCGTTGGAAAAAAAGAAGAGAGCGTCACCCGAGGACGCGAGTGAACGTCGATACTGTCGAAATTTTCACGACGATCGAGCCTCCTCCTCTTCCCCGACTATCCAATTGGCCGAGAACGTGAAGCTTCGCGAGCTGGCTGCTCTTAAGAAAATCAAATCGCAAATCCCGCGGCCCTGCGAAGGAAATCCTTATAAATGGAGAGAGGACGTTGAAGCTACTTTATATACGCGCATATACGCCCCGGATATATACCCTGGTCGCTGGAATAAATAAAAGAAGCTTTGGACGTTTGCCATTCAACGTTTAGACGTCCCTCGACAAAGGCAATCGGGATCCGTGCCATTTTCATTTGTGGTATCGCGTCGCGATTTTCGATCCCCTCTTTCGTTCGCCATCCGCCTGCACGTGTGTATGTAGCGTTCCAACAAGTATCCCTGCGTGTCTCCCCAAAAGACAAAAAAAAAA